GTCATGCAACTGGATTGAGTGTAACCTGCATGTTTGCTTGGACTGTTTGTAAATGAGATTATATAAAGTACTATGACAACCAGTATTAGGCAACATATACGTTATGCAGACAATGTCTTAACAAAGAATTATGTTTTCTGGGGTTTTTTTTCTGATTTCCCAAACTTCCTTATCTAGTTACGTCTTGCAGCATTGGATTGATCGTCTACAATGCCTGAACTTTCCCAGAGCATTTCAGTTATGTAATGCTTTTCACCCAAGTCTGGTATTTGCTGTCATTGGCTTCTTTTGTCATTAGCTTTATAAACTTTAGCAGCCAGGGAGATAACAATGTCAGTTGTCTTCCAAGAAGGCATCTATAGAGGGAAGAAAGGTGATGTTGCTGAGATTTTTGTGTTTTATATGTTTTAGCAGCACAGACTTTAGCAGTAATTTATTAATCAACAACAATACATCAGCTGTTTTTTCTTTGTAGTATTCAGACTCAGTGGTTTAAAACTCATATTAAATTTCTAAAGAACTGCAGTGTAGTATAATGAAAACTAAAAAGTAATTTTACTTTACATTGCACAGAATGAGAAGAATTATGACCCTAATAGAAAAATAGAGCCAAAGCTCTTTTTTTAAGGCAAGAAAACATGACATCATATAATTATTTCATTGTTCATATAATAGCAAGTATTTGTTCCATAATTAATGAGATTTGAAAGAGCAGATTTCAATATAGAGTAGCATGTCATCTCCACAAGGTATTTTTCTGTCTGTCTTTCATTTTTATATCTCACTCCCCTGCCTGAGGTCTGGATAAATGGACTTTGTTTATTAAATCTCATTATTTTGCAGCAAGGTAAATGATAGCCACATCTAGCATCTGGTAGCAGCTGTAACACTCCTATCAAGAGAGTACCGTATCAGCAGTTTCCTCAGCTACGGGTGCTTAACTAGTGGAATTACAGGTCCCAATGTGTCAAAGTATGTGGTAGATGCTTATCTTTTAGTATGTGAGCTGTCTTTCAAATGCATGCTGGATTTGTACCTCAGCTTCTTAAATACCGTTGGATTTATCAGACAACATTCTGCAAATTCCCCCTACTACTTACAGCTCCTTTAAAATTTGGCATTAAATCTCCTTTATTTCAACCTTTTAAAAACTCCTTCTCCACAAATCTCTGTAATGGAATTTATTACCTTCCTAGGTTACTCATACAAAATACAAGAAAATAGAGACTCTAGATCAAATTGAATGTTCATTTGCCTTTTTTTTATTTGCCTTTTTTTTTTTAATAGCTTGGCATCACTATTGTTTGTATTCTTTCTTGTTTGATTTTGTTTGGGTTTTTTGCTTTAATCTGGAAGGTTGTTTCACCATTTCATTAGGCAGTGGGATCTTTATCACAAGTAAATTACATTATATTCCAGACCAGCAGCTTTTGTTACAGAGTGGGAAGCTTCTGAACTGTTGCTCAAGAAATGTTTGGGAGAATGGCTTCACCTTATGTTGTGCTTGTTCCATGTGCTGTAGACTATAAAAAAAAATGCTGGGATGATTGGTGACATCTTAGTCAACCCTCTGATTGTCATTACAGCCATTTATTTACTCTCATCAGAAGCACTCCTGTAATGTTTTTAAATTCATTTGGGTGAATTATAAATGAATGGAATACTTTTGCAATCATACCAATTTATCACTAATTTACTAATCACCAAATGAAAGTAATAACTCATATTATGAATATCAAGTGCATCTAGTACTAAAAACTACCTATGTTCCATAATACATTCTAAGTCTCATTGCCATCTCTGCTAGACTTCATCAAATCATATACTTGATTTCTTTGGGCTGAATGGAGGTCTTTCTGATTACCTATTGAGCTGAAACCTTAAATAAACTGTCATTTTCTCCTTTTTCTCTACTGACCATTGTATAGAGACAGTCATTTAAGTGAGGTGGCTAATTTAATCAATCTGAAGAACAATTATATTCTGGAAATATTTTCTTGTGGAACTCTTTGCTACAAGATATCATTAAGGTCAAGGGTCTATAAGGTTTTAAAACTGATTGAATGCAAACTCTAAGAGGTACATTGAGGTTAAAAGAGTATAAACCTTCATGCCTCAAGGCAGATGTCAGGTTTTAACTCATGCAGATTGGAAGAAATTTCCCTATAGCCACATGATGTCAGAGTTACCAGTGTCTGTATTCTTTCACCTTTCTAATAAACAACTACCTCATCCCAGTAAGACTCTGGAGCAGCTGTGTCAGTGCCTGAAAGCAATATAGCAAGTCTGATGCTTACTTCTAGCTTCAATTTCAAACACTGAATATTTGAAGAATTTCATGAACTATTGTTTTTCGATGAGATTATTTTCAGTGGTTTTGGCTGTATAGTGTATGTTTTGGCCTTATGCCTTCCAAAAGGCTTTATAAATCAATCTATCAGAGCAAACAGCATGGTTTCTTTTTTTTTTTACTTTTCTCTCAAGCATTTCTCTAAGACTGGACCATTAATTCTGTCATAATATTTGGTTTTTGGACACTTAGCAGTCATCCTCTTTCAGAGAATCATTCTGTTCCTTTCAAACATGTTACAACCAATCTAGCTCAAATGATGGCAAATAGTCATTAGTGTCCTACGGAAATTTTCTGTTCAACTCCAGCTCCTTTCTGTGATCTATTCTGTTGTGATCTTAGATTCTTTAAGGCAGTTACGGTGAGCTTTCTAATTTTTATGAATCAGGCTCTAGTTTTCATGAAAACACATCAATTGTGCATCTTGGATGAGGTCATCCATTTATGCAAATGCAAGTTTAGTTGCTGATAATATTGTGTCTCTAGTCTCTGTTAAACTAGTACTTTGCAAGAAGTATCTATGTAAAGCCTGTGAGCAGTTCTGATCCCTAATACAGGGATGGAAGAATATCCAGTGTATCTTGATGGCAGATGGAAAAGTCTGTCTGGTCAGGCAGTGGTTATTCTGTTTTTTGCTCAGGTGCAAAGACCAGCTGTTGAAGAAAGATGAGGTGTTCTATTAAGTATTTAATGAGAAGATGTCTGTCCTGAGGCAGCAGAAGTTGTCATTGCCCAAGAAGATAATTTTGTGCTGACTCCAGAGCAAGTGTCAATAGAGACAGCTTAGCTGAGCTTTTGGGTGTGAATGTGTTTAATACTGATGGACCAGGTTCTCCTGAGAATTCAGTGTTGTCTCTTGGGATTACAGTGAGGGGCAGGGATATGTTGGAAAGGGCACTGTGAGCTGAAGACAGAGTGTTTTTAATGGTCAAGACAAACCAAATTTCAGTTTTCCATAATGGAAAATTACCCTGAAAAACAGTTCCTTGACAAAATGACAGTGCAGCTGTCCTATTTAAAGCAAAACATGACAGGTTTTGTGACCTGAACTTGTGTGGGATCATTCTCCTCACTGACCCTTGCAGCTAGACTGGGAGGTCCTACCTGATGCACAAAGCACAGCAGAGGCTCTTTCTAGAGAGCAAAATCCTGAGCCAACAGTAGGTCCTTTGTAGAGACCAGTAAAACTCTGCCTGAGAGGAAGCACTGAAGGGATGCTGGAGGGAGGGTAGGTGCTGGGGTTCAGTGAGACAGGTCAGCTTGTGAAAAAGCAGTTTAACCCTTCACTACAGACTTTCTTATATTAAAATCCAGCCAGCAGGCTGCTGGACTTCTGTCTCAGAAAAGGGAGATAAAGAATGCCAACACAGCTTGTCCCGATGGAATTTTTGTCTCAAGATGAAGATGTTGGTCAGGCATCTAAGCAGAGGTGTGGTGATGCAGCAGCTACTGTTTCTGCCTGGGCTCTTTTCCCACGCCTCTTATTTGTGGTTTCTTGTCACTCTTGCTTTATTCATTGCATTGGTTTTATTTCTTTCTTCCTTCCCCTTTGGTTATTTTTCTCTCGCAGAAGGTCAAAGTTTTAAAGATTATAAAAATACCTATGGAGGGTGTTCAGAAGCATTTATGTCATGTTATTTACCCAAGTTACCTAATGCAGCACTGAGAAGGGAGAAAAAAAAAAAGGCTGACAGTCACTGCCACAGCCAGGCAGTTCCTCTGGGAGTGATGTGTCCCTCCCTTCCACTACTGTATTGTTGTCCAATGATGACATCAAATTATCCTAAAGGTTCTCTAAATTAAGTTGAAATTTTAATAATATGGGAGTTATCAAGAGAAATCCCAACTAGCCTAAAAAATAAATAACTCAACCTGTCAGCTGTCTATGCTATCCATCATTTAATGAGCATATTTTAAATACTTGCATACCATCAATAGGATGTAGCCAAAACAGATGCATTGCATGCACAGTGTAGTGAGATTTCAGTTGTATGTCCTCTAAATATAGCAGGGAATTGTCTGACTCAACCTCTATAAACTATTAGAAATGCAAGCTCCAGTCTTGGAGAAACTACCATAAATGAATATACTTTATTCTTTTGAGCTTTTTACTATTATGTTAATAGTTAAAGGAGGCTTACTTAAAGATTATCTGAATCTGCAAACATCCAGAGGGGAATAAAAAATAAATGAAATGTCAAGTGCAGTGAAATGGCACTTTTAAACAATTTTTAGTTGGACATAAATAAATGAGATATTCGCTCTTACTTGGACTACATCTACATTCAAAAAATCAACCTGATTCTTTATGTAGAAACATAAATCACTATTTACGGTGTACTGTGTGGTAAAGTATTGCTTTGTGTCTCAGACATTGTTAGTCTTTGTTTTGAGCATCAACTAAAATGTTCAAGCCAGCTTTGCAATGTTAATCCAAATGTTTCTGCCATTTTCTGTATTTCAGCCAAATGCATAATGCTTTACAAGTATTGATACCATTTGAAACCCACTTGGTGTCAGTTTATAAATGAATATTACCTCTGCACTTCAAAATTAGATGTTAGTTCCTGATGTTCCTACCATGAGGGATGTGCTAGTTACATCAGTGTCTGTTCTGATGTTGCTAACAAAATGTTCTGATTTTCTGTAGGAAATGCTATTAGGCCCATTGCCCTCCGTGCAGTGTCTGCCATAGCCCGTGCTCTCCCAGGATTTCCCATCTTAGCAACTGGAGGAATTGATTCTGCTGAAACTGGGCTTCAATTTCTGCACAGTGGGGCTTCTGTTTTACAGGTACCTTTTCTTTCTCTAAAAATGTTAAAATTGAAATAACTGTAATTAAGATCACAATGTATCTTCCTTTCAGACATTCAGATAGTGGGGGGTTTTATACCATTGAAAGGAATTTTCATGTTTTTAATTTCACGCTTCTTGCTAAGAGACATTCATTTCAGATGGAGGAGGAGGAGTTGCCAAAAGACAACTTTGGGTGTTGCAATACCAATCTGGGAAAAGGCTAGCCACGATTTTGTTACCACTTTTTATCTCTGACTTACAGGATTTAAAATTTAAACATTTCTCCCTTGTCATACAAACGGGGTTGGCACAGAGTTAAGCTTGAGCTATCTGTTCTTCCTTTATTCTCAGCTTTATTTTTCTGCAAAGAGCCTTCTCAAGGGGAGAGGGCTTTCAAAGAGTACTACTTTGGTCTCACAGGGAGCTAGTTTAAAGTAACTCTTGTTTATCTAGGCGTCTGTGTCCCTTAAGCATGTTTATTGAAACAGGAGGTGTAGAGGTGTAGCTCCTGCATATGGTGCTGGCATTGCATTGGAGTGAGGTGTCAAACTGCATACAATAGTGGAGGCTGTTTACATTGCTTGGTGGGTTGTTTTGAAGTCCTTGCTAGACAGGCATGGTTAGTTAGTCCTTGTCAAGGAAGAAAGTCTTGATGGCCTGGTATTGTGGGCACCAGAAAACTGGCTGGAAATCAGCCCCTTACCTGCTCTTCTAGGCATGTCAGGGCACCACTGCAGCATACATGTTAGAATGGCTGAGGAGCAGGTGGTCTTTATGTTATATTATTCCATTATATATTGTTACATTCTGGTAGATGCCCCTTTATCTGTAGGTCCCACCATAGACAACAGCAGCTGTGGATCCTGTGGATATTGGCTTTGTGTCACTCCATGGGATGACTGGAGTGGTTTCATTCCCACAATTCACTTTGACATTGAAATTAGACTGAGTGTGACCAGCCTTTTTAAACAGCTACAGTGACTGCTGAGATTAGTCATTTGTTTGCTATGTTTAAAAAAAAAAAAGCCAACTCAGTGTTTAGGTTTGGTTGGGTTTTTTTAATGCACATCAAAGTTAGCATCTCTTGGAGCTGAAGTAGAAGGCTACTGCTTTTTTATATACTTCCTATGTTCTTTGAATATAATAATACCATTTCTTTTTTTTTTAGCTGTATGAAAGTGCTTCCAACTCTTTTTTTGCATTGACAGACAAAAGGTCTACCTTCCTTACACAATGGTCTGAGAGCTCCTTCTATATAAATACTAAGTAATGGTGCAAATTACAGAGAAGCATTTGTCTACAAAAAAAAAAAAAAAAGGATTGCCAAGGAAATGTTTTTAGTGCTCCAGATGCATTTCATTTGTTATTGCTAATAGAGCTGCAGATTCGATGGCTTTGTCCGTAACAATTTTACATGATCTAAAATACACAGTGTGGAATGATTTTCTGTTCTATGCCTGCTGTATCTGTTTCTGAATGACTAAAAATGAAGGTTTTTGATGTCATTTATGTGTTTTTCCTTTATATAAATCGTGTAGCTGTTTATTTTTTATTTCTCTTCTCTTTTTTTGTTGGTTTACCCCAATGGTAATGGGAAATTCTGAAATATAATTTAATGCAGACATCCCAGTCAGTGCTCAAGAGAAAGAATATTTGATTTACAAAACATTAATTATTCTTTTCTTTTTAGTGATAAGTTCTCTGAAACTGACTTCCAGAAGTTACTTGGATCTATACTCTTCTACTGCCCTTTACAGAGCAATTTCTCTTTTCAGCAGATTTTTCCCAGAGATGGTGAAAAAACTCTTTTCTTGTCCTTAAGTTTCACCAGTTTAACCTAAATCATCTCTAGAACTGATTTTAAACTCCTCTGGATCAAACCTATCCTCAGTTTGAGTGGCTTATTTCAGTTTCACTAAAGTAGGGAAGTCATTTAAACTAATCTCAGATAAATCTCAGATTCTAAAGTGGCTGTGTAGGTAAGGGTCTGAACTAGTTCAATTGCATTTATTTAAAAATAAGCAGTTAGTAAACTTCATGCAAGATTGTGAATACAGGCCATAAGTCTTTTCCTCATGTTGGGAAGGACAAACAGAAGGGAGAGGGAAATGAGTAATCTTTATAGACAGTCCTAGAAGAAATGTACTTGACTGTATCTAGACTGAAACTTCTATTTGTTGCTCAGACAAGATACGTCGTGATAGAGAAGACAGCCTCATCTTCACAGGTCATCTTTGGAACCTAATTAGGATAATGAGAATCATTGCTGTTGTTTTCCTTCTTAACAAGGTCATACAAATAGGCAGCTAATATACTTCTTCCCTGAATCCCAATCTCTCTCTCATATCCTTTATATCAAATGCCCAAGTTGTTCCTTCAACAGTCACAACCTCTGTTGCATATCATAACAGCTTTGACAGTTCACTTCTGCTTTCTCAGTACCAAAATACAGAGCAAGTACAGAATTTGGAGATAGCATCAAATAATGTGACCTACTGAATGATTCAGCATATTAAGATTCACTGCATAGCAAGGCCCTGGGTTTAGCAGGTAGAAGCTGAGACTGTTCAGGAGGAATTATGTGTGTCCCATAGCCTTATCTAAAGTATCTGCTTTGGACACTGTTGGAGGTGGTTCTGAATAGATGCTTGGACTGGCACAGAACTGCACATTTTGTCGTCTGACTTCGTCTTTCCAAAACCACAGGGACACCTTATGACTGATCCAGAGGCAGAAAGCAAACAGCCTGGGCTTTGGCAGTGCTGGAGTGAGCTTTGTACTCAGCTGTGCCAAATGGGCGGTGGGCTCAAGACTGAGGAATGCATACTGCCACTACTATCATCACCCTGCTACACAGAATTCCTCATGTGGAGTATTTTAAAAGGGTAGGGAATGTCAGATCACCCAGCATTAAATGCAGTCTGATACCACTATGCAGCACAGACTGTATTGATCCATCCACAGAGCCCAGCTAGAGAGCCTGGGAGAACAGCACTTGCTTGGCCACTGGGCTTCCCTTCATTATGGCTTAACAAGAGTCCTGTGTCTTCTCTGCCATGGGAGTGTGACATTCATGGACCAGGATAATAAGAAGGCTTTGTGTGAGTTGATTTAATTGCAATGTGGCATATCTGTTAGAGGAAAGGTTTATGAATAATAAATGTTCTTCCATTAAAAGCAAGATCAGGTTTTCCTCTGCAGCTATTCCGCCTACAATCAGTTCTCCATTATTTTTTCCAATTGCTTTTATTTTTAAAACATGGGGATTTATTTTCCATTTAGAAAATCATCATACACAGGAATGCAAGTCAGGAGTCAGGTGGTAAGCCATATTTTGCTATATGCCATAACCACCTCAAGTGATCTTAAGAAGTTATATTGGGAAATGGTTTGGGGAGAGTTTCAGTATTCAAAATGTGTTCTCTCCCCTACTTTAGAAGATGGAGTGCAACATCTTAGTGTCATTACTTACAAAAGGTTTGTGTGTAAGGAAGTTTACAGCAGGTATAGAAAACAAACAGGATCATTATAGTCAGTAGTAGCTGGGATTAAAATTTCATACAGCAGTTTAACAGTATTCTTCCCCTTTATGGACTTCAGAAGCACCTGCAAAAAGACCCCACTTGTTTTTTTAATTTTTCATTTAAAATGTTGAAACATTTAAATCATTCTTCAACTGATTCCATAGCACTATATTATTTTTTAACATACACAAATCCACCAATCCCTTTTCAGTACAGGCATGAAATTTTAAAAAAAATTTTATTTACAGAGGTAATCCTGCACTCATTGCATACCAAAAGCTCCAGAAATATCTAGCTGCATCTTTCTGAGGAATGGGTCATTACTACAGGCTTCCAGTGAAGCTGAAGTATTTTATTTTTAATTTAAGTAAGCTTTTTTAAAGCCTCAATTTATCAAAATAACATGTATATGGATTTTTTTTCATCTTTTTGCATCATGTATGTGATTTACCATGCCACATTGATGGTTTGTTAGATTTTTGCAAGCCTTTGAAAGAGACATACATTTTTTAAAGTCATCTTGCTGTAGGAAATTAAAATTGGAAACAATTATAGAAAATTCCAGCGGAAAGAGAAAATGCATTATGGAAAAAGCAATAAAAGCGTAGAAATATTAAAGTAAAAATCACTTCACAGTAGCCTGTATGATTCAATTGTAGATCAATATTGTGTAGTTAATGCATTAGCAGTAGAGCATTAATTTGCAATTACAGCAGGTGATCTGATCCTCTGTGTTCTGTCCATTGACATAAATGACCTTTTGTTGAAAGAGATTCTGTAGTCATTATTTCTAGCAGATGTAACAAAAAAAAAAGGTAGAACAAAGAGGTACTTTCTGAAGTATGCTTTTCTCATGATGGTCTTTTAGCATTATATTCTGGTATGGAATACTTTTATTAATCTGGAATATTGTTCATTGTTGTGTAAAGAATACAGGTTCCTTTTCAAACAAATTTCTGTTCTTGTGATGTATAGAGGCCACACTTGGCCCCTGTTGCAGACATGGATGTCTGCAAGGCTTTCTACATAGCAGCACTTTAAAATCCACCCATATAATGCTGCTCCCCAGCAGGACAACCTGCAGCTTTTCCTTGAGCCCTGTTTCAAGCCCAGCTTCACCCATCTTCATCCCCCTCTTGTCTTGGGTGGGATGTAGTGCCTTGCAGTCCTGTTCCTATGGGTGCTGTGCTCTTGTCTTCACTGAGTTGTATTCAGCCCATGCACACCTGCTGCCTCTAGACCTTGCACCATGCCCCTCCTCTTCTCTCAGGCAGGGGAAGAAGGTGGGAACGTTCCCCACCTCAGAGGCAGAGCTGCCATGAAGCTGGATCTGCCCTGTGCCTTTCTCTTCTGCCCAACACCAGTTGTGTGTGAGTACTCAGGGATCTGAGGAAGAACAAAACTGTTCTGGAAGTGTGACACCCATGATAGGAAAGCAATAGTGATGGGTTTTGCCTCTGTAAGATAAAATCT